AGTACAATATCCAAAGGGTTTAATAGTGGAACCGGCACAGAAAATGTTGATTTCCCTTGTTTAATGATAAATCAACTATAAGTCTAATGTGCTATAGCATATTTTTGTTCTGGAATGGTGAAGGATTAAATTTGTCCCAGCTATCTGATTGCTGAGGTCTCTGTCCATATATGGTCACTATGGAATGTGGATTTAGGAACAACTGTCTAGTAACCGTCCTTTGCATGCAATTGGTATTACTGTGTTAATGTAGTTTAGGACTCGACTGATGCATTTGTTTGTAATCACAACCTCAAAATTTCTTGTGAACATTCCTCTGTTAAAAAAAACAAGTTAATAGTCCCTACCACTGGGTGACTTGTATAGTCAACAACAACAATAACATACCTAGTGAAACCCCACAAGTGGATCTTATCCCAACCTCGTGGAGGTAGAGAGGCTGTTTCCAAAGGACCCTCGGCTCAAGTGCAGTAAACTGGAGTAATTATGAAGACTTGTATAGGCAACTGCCCCAATTGATGGAACCAGTTTCTATTCACCAGCACTGCTACTTGTATTATGACTATTTGAGTATCATCATAGGGAATGCTATGCAATGCCATAGATGAACCAGAAACAATATGGAAAGAAGAACAAATTAGATATCATTTGCCGTTTACCCTAAAATTTTGTAAATTAATCAGCATAATCAATTCCCACAGCATTGAATATCAAGGAGCTCTCTGAAAACAAAAGTTACTTAAATGGAAACAAAACTTGAATATACTCATGCATACATGCATGTTTTGTAACTTTCCCTGTTTATTCATGGGCAATATTTAAAGCATTTTGAGCAAAGTGAAACCCTCCAACATGGTCAAAGCAACTCGTGCTCAAGCTTCACATAAAAGATACCTTGCCTGGAATGACTCCCACACTTCATTTACCTTGTAATATTGTTGAAATGCTTTCTTACCAATTCATAAATAATGGATTAATCGGAAGAGTACTATTTTGATGATCCCAAACATTGTCTTTATAAGAGAGCGACATAGTAGTATGATTTAGAATTTTTATGTCACAATATGAGCTGGATATAAGCATAACATGAAGGAGCTTATGAGTTAAACAAATAAGAAACTACAAGAACATTGCGCTTCCAACCATGAATATTGCAGAAGTAAAAATGCATTGGAATAGCGAGCTGATCTTCTAGGTTGGGGGATTACTGGATGGTTATCAGTGTGGAAATCTTATCTAGATAAATGTTGATCAATATCAACTCGTTGCAAGTTCAAATATTATTCTTTCACTAAATCACAGCACCACTTTTTCAGGTGACAGTGGGTCGTAAGCCAGTGACAGGGCTCAGGCTCAGCCTAGAAGGTGACAAGCAGAACCGTCTTTCAGTCAATTTGCAGCACCTTGTTTCCCTCCCTAAGATCCTTCAACCCCACTGGGATGCACACATGGCTATAGGTGCCCCAAAATGGAAAGGCCCTGAAGAGCAGGATAGCAGATGGTTTGAACCAATCAAATGGAAAAATTTCTCCCATGTAAGCACAGCACCAATTGAACATACTGAGACTTCCATTGGAGATCTCTCTGGTGTTCACATTGTGACGGGGGCTCAGCTTGGTGTTTGGGATTTTGGTGCCAAGAGTGTCTTGCATCTTAAACTCCTCTTTTCCAAGGTACCTGGCTGTACAATAAGAAGATCGGTATGGGATCACAGTCCATCAAATCTATCAGCAGTACAAAGGATTGATGGTTCTTCAACTTCACTTCAGAACGAAAACAAGAAAGGTGATACTTCCAGCCAAACAGGGAAATTGGCAAAAATTGTAGACATGACAGAAATGTCAAAGGGGCCACAGGATGCACCAGGACACTGGTTGGTAACAGGAGCTAAACTTGGAGTTGATAAAGGAAAAATTGTGCTAAGAGTGAAGTATTCCCTGTTGAATTATTAATGCGTTGTGTTGTATGTGAGATTAAAGCATTCTTTGGATAGTTTAGATATCATGTTATTCTTCTGTAAATTATGTTAGCATTGATCATTCATTTTTGTTAAGGCTATTTTATAGCCACCAGATCAGTGTACTACTTTTGGGTGTATACTATGTTAAATTTCCAGCATCTTACAAACTTGTTCTGTACTGAGACTGAATTAAAAATGTTTTTTTCTTAAAAAAAAAAGTCAAAATCAGACAAACGAATTAAAACTGGAGTACGTAGGCTAATTTATGACATGCTAGTTAATGCTACGTGGGATCTAAACAAAGTATCCACGTCCTTTCTTCCACCTCTATAATTCTCAGTTTCTCTTCTCTCCCAAATCATAGAAAAATTGAGTACTCTTCAATTTTTTCATCATAAACCATATTATGGCTTCTAGTGATGAGGCACCAGGGGCGATGCCTCCAGGTGACGGCTCTGTTCCTCCAGGAAAATCAATGTCAATTGGGCAGCATGTTATAGACAAAGGCGCTCAATTGATGCAGTCCTTGAAACCCATCAAGCAGATGAGCCAACATGTTTGCACTTTCGCTATGTACAGCCATGATATCACTCGACAGATCGAGACGCACCACTATGTGAGTCGAGTCAATCAGGATTTCCTCCAGTGTGCTGTTTATGAGTCCGACGATTCTAAAGGACGTCTTATTGGTAATTCATTAATTGACTCCTGGGTTCATTTTAATTCTTGATTTGTTTGATGTTGAGTCGATCTTCTCACTATTTCAATGATTCCTATAGCATAATTTTTTCATGAATTTGCTGTGAAAAAAACCTGTAATGGTGATTAGTTTCTGTCTCGGCTGGCGATGGGTTATATTGTCTTGGACAATTCGAGCTAGCTTTTAAGTTTGAATTAAGCCGATGATATTGGTTGTAGTGAATGTTTGTGATAGTGCAGGAATAGAATATATAATATCAGATCGAATCTTTGAAACTCTTCCAGCAGAAGAACAGAAGCTCTGGCACAGTCATGAATACGAGGTAATTGATTTCCATTTTGTTCATGACATTCTAACTTATTCAAAAACTATGAAATTGACAAATTAATACTTAAGGGGTAAAATGTCTACTTGCAAACTCTGAATATTTTGAATATACAGATTATAGCAGGACTTTGGGTGAACCCAAAAGTTCCAGAGATGGTCCAAAAGCAAGAACTGAAGAATCTTGCTCCAACTTATGGCAAGTTTTGGTGCACCTGGCAAGTTGATCGTGGCAAGTCGTAATACCTTTATTTCCTTTAATTTTGAGAAATTATGCCTTTGAATGGTATGTTTCAACACAAAAAAAAATAAAAAATCTTTCCGTCTGAAATGCTGAGACTCGTCCCCAGGCTTAAACTTGTTGAAATTGCAGCTAGCGAGCTTGACTAATAAGATAGAAAAGGGCTTTTCTCGCTTGTTTGAAGCCATATAAGGTTTTTCTTCAATTGGCAAACAAGGGGGGCCGAGGTAATGCTTTACCCCATAGCCCTGGGGCTATTTACAACTAACCGATTAAGAAGTCTCAGACGTACTAGCACTCATCAATTCTCCCACGAGGAACCCCTTTTTGTTATGCTACTAATACTTACTCTGCTTTCAAATACCCTTTTCTGTGTAGAACCTCAGTCCTATAATCGAAATAGGATCTATTTGCCTGAACCTTACTTCTCTTTTACTGCTGGGGTCATCTCTCTATGTTAAAATACAGTAAACAATCTACTATCACAGGTTATAAATAAGACACTATACATTAATGTCGTGCGAGTTGTTGCCTGACATAGGAAAAATCTCATATTGTGGTGGTGGTTCAGGTGATAGGCTTCCACTTGGAGCACCTGCATTGATGATGTCTCCACAAGGTGTAAATTTAGGCATGGTGGCACCAGAGCTAGTGAAGAAGAGGGACGGAAAATATGGCATTTCTTCAAAGGATTTGGAAAAGACGAGGGCGGATATTGCAGGGCCAAAGACCACCATGAATCCTTATGCAAACTACTGGATGCAAACTGGCAAAGGCTTTGCCATTGATATGGAACTCACTGATATGAAAAAGACTGCACCTTTTCCATGAAAAATATAATCAATTAGTATAGTGATGTCTCTCTATATATGCATCAATTATTATGTAGTATTAGTATAGTATATCCATGCTTTATGTGTTGAATAATGTAATTGATTGAACATCTCTTTTAATAGTAGCATAACTCTTGAACTCACCACCTCGGTTGGAAGTGAGGAGTGTTTACTATCTGAACAACTCTATTTTGTCAATAATAATATTACTATCTAAACAACTCTATTTTGTCGGTAATAATATATTGAGCATATGATATTGAAAATATATATCAAGTACATGTATCACCTTAGGCCATCGAGTTTCAATGTCATATAAACTCATAATAACCAATTAATGGAACGCAAATATGTAATGTCATGATTAAATATGTATATTACTCGTCCGTTGCAATGTATATACTATAATTTATGCAGTATCGTTTAATTATGTATGAAATTTAAGAGGTAAAAAAAGTGAAACTTGTACTTTAAAAAAAACAAGTCTTAGATATTCGCTAGTTTCAATTTATTTGTATGGTTTGATATAGAAATAATAAAGATGATTTTAAAATTATGTCCACTATAGAAATGTGGACCACTATGCTTCGTAGGCTGAGGCAACTCCGCAACAGAGATTCAAATTCAAGACCTCTAATTAAAAATGAAAGAGTGATTACCACTTCCTCGTTATTGAATAAGACAGAATATGTTAATTGTTGTTTGTCTTTTTATGATCTTTTGTCTTTACTCTCTGTATCTTGATGAACTCTATCCATGATTCTATCCATCTCACATAAAACACAAATACTGAATACGTGTCATCAAATGCTTAACACACGTTACTACGTGGCATCCAATTGCCACCTCATACCCTCTTGCATGTCCACCTGGCTACATATCCCACAAATCCTCTTCAAAATCCCCTGAAAACAGAACATCATCAACATCTTTCCAGAGCAATCTCCTATCTTTTCATAAAAACTATTTCAAACTTTAATTTTTTTTTCTTAGTGTTTTTTGTATTGATCCAATCTATGGCTGCAACTACGGCAGGGAGCCATGGGGAGCAGATACCGCCAGGAAAGACCATGACAACGGAGCAACACATACTGGATAAAGGTGCTCAAATGCTGCAGTCTTTGAAACCAATTAAGCAAATGAATCAACATGTTTGCACTTTTGCACTCTACAATCATGACATGAATCGACAAATTGAAACTCATCATTATGTCACACGACTCAATCAGGATTTTCTACAATGTGCTGTTTACGATTCTGATCATTCCACCGCCCGACTTATCGGTATTTATCCTTTTATATTATTCAGATTTGCCTTTTTCGTTTTGGAATTTCTATTTTGCTGATAAGTGATGAATTTTTCATTTTTGTGTATAGGAGTGGAGTATATAGTATCTGATCGTATCTTTGAAACCTTGCCTAAAGAAGAACAGAAACTTTGGCACTCTCATGCTTACGAGGTTTGTTCCTTTTTAGTAGTACTAATTTGCAAACTTATTCAACAGTACAACAATTTAATGCCCAGAACTAGGCTCGCACCCGAGATCCCTGGTTTGGTTTAGGATGGAACAGTCCCTGCACCACAACTAGCTAGGATATTATTCAATTCCTTCATTTTTTTTCAATTGATCTCTCTTGGTTTACCCTATATATACGGTAGATTTTGAAATATGAGTATTTTGCAATAAATTGAGGAACTTATTTGTTATTTGATCTTTGTGGAAATGGGGCAGGTAAAATCAGGATTGTGGGTGAATCCTAGGGTTCCAGAGATGGTAGTGAAAAAAGATCTTGATAATTTTGCAAAAACGTATGGAAAATTCTGGTGCACATGGCAAACAGATAGAGGTAACGGTAACATTCCTGATTCGAGCGTTCACAGCATAAATCAAAAGATATATATTCCTGATTTTGTTTATATATTTAATGTGGGATGAAAAAGGCGATAAGCTACCAGTTGGGCCACCATCACTGATGATGTCTCCACAGGCGGTGAATTTGGGGATGGTGAAGCCAGAGCTAATCCAGAAGAGAGATGACAGGTACAATATGTCGACTGATGCAATCAAGAGAACGAGGCTGGAGATAGCGGAGCCAGAGTGGATTAATCCTGAGGCGGATTACTGGAAACAGCATGGCAAATGCTTTGAGATCCATGTTGAGGATGTAGAAATGAAGAAGATAGCTCCTTTTCCATAGATCAAAGAGTGCATGCTAGCTAGCAGATTAATAAGTCAAAGATTTTGACATTATATATACTAGTCTTGTTTCTCTTTTTCGGTTTTGTAAAATAACAACGAATATGTTTTTACTTTGACGTATGTTTCTATTTAAACAAATTTAAAGAGAACTTGAGGTCTTGTCGTTCGAACTTAATTAGCCAGGTCATGGTGTGAAGCATATAACCTGAAAGTTGCAACATCTCAAAATAAAAATCGTCATATTAATTGAAATAAAGAGTAATTTCTTTTAGCAAATTATTTGGTTTTTACCCAACTGTGCCGTCTTTCAAAATGAAGAACTTGACGGAGGTAAGCACCTCATCCTCTTTAAGGTTGCTGCGGCTATCAGGAATGGTAACCTATGAATAAAAGCGCCGAATATCTATGAATGATCAGGATCGGAATGTCAATCGACAAGTTCAGACTATGATGACTAGCATCCTCACTTATGCAACGAAAGCAAAAAAGGGTGCACTTTCAAGTCAAAGATTGCGAGTTTGAATCATCACGGGAGCTAAAAAGGGTGGAACTTCTAGGGTGGATAAAAGTAATAATAAAAAGTTTGAAGAACTTTATAAAAATTAGGGAAAATATATTCGAATTTTGATCGAAATTGCGCTAACAATCCTAAACTTTGGACAATACTTATTATCTTGTATTATTTAATAGTGTCTTTTAAAAATATATAGATATTTAGTAGACATCATAAATATTGCATCATTATAAATAGTAACTTGTCAAGCTGGACACTTATATATCTTTAAAATATACTACTATATTAAATAGTGCATGAGTAATAGCTCTTGCCCAAAATTTGAGATTATAATTTCGATGAAAGGTTGGATATATTTCAAACTTTTTTTTCTTTAAAACTTATTAAGAACAGGAAATGTAAGGGGTTAGTGAAAATTCTTTCACTCAACAAAAAGACAATTAGTGACTTAACATATTTTTCTTTTCTCTTTTACAAATACTAGTATACGTATCTGTGCGATGCACGGATAATATAAAAGAAAATAATTATGTTGTATATTATTCTCGAACATATATTATACATTTGTCTATATGAAAAAATTATTTTAAATTAGTATTTCTCAATATTATGCCTTGAAAAGGACTCAAATCTCTACGCTCTTTAATGATTGTCACATTTCCATTCATGAGTTACTCTTGCGTAATTGTTATGGCGATTAACATAGAAAGTTTCTCATCACTTCTTAACACATATTGAATACTTGAATGGTATATTTGTAATTTTTATGTCCATACAACAACAAAATAATTTTTTCATTGACGCATTATGCAGCCCGAAAATTATGAACAAATTTGTTAAGAGCATCAAATGTTATATAAATTATTTATACATAATTAAATGAGTAATGGATACGAAATGCTAAAATACAATAATTAGATAGATTGTCTCAAAATGTATATTTTAGTCGTGTTATATATATATATATATATATTACGAAGAACTAAATAAAAAGATATGACTCAATTTTTATTATTATTATTATAGACGTACTTTAAAAATAAAGGAACAATAGAAAATCAATATTATTAATTACCTTGCTTTTGAAGGGAATCTAATAATAAATAATACGTTATCACGTGATTTAAAAATTTGAGTAGTGTATAATTATTTTTGTAATATGCACGTTTTTAGTAATTTCATCATCATGATTATCCTCGTAATTTCATTTTTCATCTTTTTAGTTTAATTTTGGCCCATAATATTGTATTCCCGTTTTTTCTTTCAAAACTGAAAATATTTTAAAATTTTTATCATTTAATTTTACCGCATATATAATCAGTTAAAATAAAAATAAAAATTAAAGATGACCGCTAAGTGTGATTATATATATATATATATGAATAAATCAAATATTTTTTAAAAATAATATTTATATCTTGATTTAAGTGAATAAATCACTTTATAAAAAATATATACAAATTATGTGTTATAAGATTTATATAAATATTGTTGTTCTCCTTTCTTGTACTTTCACTTATTATTCCTTTGCAAATATATTCGATTTTTCTTCTGGCATCAAATAATATATTCGCCCCCAAAGAAAAAGATGAAGAAAAGAAGAATTGTAACACAAATAACATTACACATTTGAAGAATAGATCCATTAATTTTTTTAGTTGAATTTATTTATGTATATATTGAAAATCTAGATAATGGATAGAGCAGTTTTAGATAATCACTTTAAATTCAAATTCAAAAAGTAACTATTCTGTCGTAATTTTAAAAAAATAAATATTACGTGGATCGGTTTGTTACGTTTTTATTAGTTTTATATTTGTTTATATTATTATCATTATTATATTATTATAAAAATCTAGATAACGGACAAAACATATACCACTTAACTACTCTGCCATGTTTCTTTTAAAAATAGTACTACATGTTTTTTCAGTTTTTTTTTTCATTTTAAATTTTGTTATTTTTCTTTTTTTTTTATCGGATTTTAAACTTAATTTAATAATAATAATAATAATATTATTATTATTATTATTATTATTATTATTTGTTTTGCTATAAATAAGGAGGTTGTGGAAAGATAGAAGTATTTTTCCAAAAAAAATTGATTGTTTGTATTTGTATTTGAATAAGGAAATCAATAAACTTAAAAAATTGTTTTTTTTGTAAAAAATAAAAACACAACAGATAATTAAAATTATTTTAAAACTTCTCGTACTCTATTCAAACATATTTTGTGGATATAATACTTTCAAACTTCTCATGAGTTTCTTCTTCTAGTGAACTCTCATTTTAAATTAGTGATAATATTTCATCAAAATATATTAGTGGTACAGATCATATGAATGAATATCTTAAACTTGCAAACTAATCAATAAAATTAATATGAAAAATTGCAATGCTTACGTAATATATGTTGAGAAAGTGGAAGGAAAAAGAAATTTATCACACTGTAGAATCATATGCCAAATAAATTCTCAAAATCTAAAAAATAATGTTAAGTCTCCAGAAATCTTAAACAAAAATCAAACTAAATATAAAATCAGCAAATACATAAAAGCAATATTCATAAATGTACCTTTATCCAATTGTGCCGAATTATCAATATGCATATATTTCTGAAAACATTGATGGATTTGACTTTCTGAAATTTCTTAATTGTGTATATATAGAGAGAAAAAAGAGGTAATGGATAGAGCAGTTTAAGAAAACCACTTTAAATTCAAATACAAAAAAATTACTAATTTATCATTTTAAAAAAATAATAATTTAATAATATGTAAGTTGGTTACTTAATTTAAAGAATCAGTTATATTTTTTTTAAAATAAAATATATCTTTATAACCATTTCTTTTAGTTAGTGGGCAGTTTTACTATTTATTTATTTAAAATGATTGATGCACAACGGTGTTTTTTAAAATAAAATTAATTGGAAAAATTTAGAGATATAATCAAAGTGACAATGTTTTTTTTCTCCTTTTATACAATTAATTTAAGTAAGTTTTAGAATGTGTTAATTTGATGTTTGGTCTTCCTGCACTTGGCAAACGTGGGTGGTAATTTTTTATTTTTTTTTGAATTGGATGACATTTATCTAATTATACCACATTAATTTTAAAACCCCTTTTGTAGTTTTATTTTATTTCTAAAGATTATATATCTAAAAAAAGTACAGATAATTAATTCCACAAAAAAAGAATTATGCATCCTATTTTTTCGAACTGTTTTAAAATTGTTTATCGTTTAGTTGTAAAAACTACTTTTAAATCATTTTAAAAAACAATAAAAAGTTAAGGTAAATTTAAATTTTTGAATTTAAAAAAAAGCTGTAAAAACTGCTTGTTGATTTTTTCTTTATTTTTGTAGTGTTTGCAATTTTTCTTTTTTCTTTTTAGATTTTAAATTAATTTAGCAATTATTAAATTATCTTTTTTTGTAGTGCTGACACGTAGGCGGTTTTTCTTCTCCTTTTATATATAGATAGATTACCGCAAAAATATTGAATGACAATTAAAAGTTGGTATCATTATATTAAATTTCTTTAAAATATTTAACACAATTATGCTATATTGCTGTTAAATCTGGTAGTGTTTGCCCCTGCATGGGACTATAAATATTCGGAACAAAAAAAAAAAGGATATTCTGGAATTGAAAAATACCACCGCGCTTGGTGAGCATATATCCATTAGTAAAATGATCGAAACGAATAATAATTGAAGATAAATTAAACCATAAAAATCAATTCTTGACACCCAAAATTGTTTAATTTCATCTATTTTACATCAGATCCCTTGGTTTTCGTCGTCGATTCCAATTATTTCAGTATAATTTTCATGGAGGCTGGTACAACTATTATGCAGCAGGTACAAATCAGTGAAGCAGTATTGGAAAAACATGTTTACTCTGTTTGGGCTCTGCCGAGGGAGGATGTGAGAGTTAGGGTCAAAAAGTTGATGGAGGGTCTCCGATCGGAGTTTGGTGGGCCCCAGTTTGAACCTCACGTGACCGTCATCGGAGCTATTCGGTTGACGGAGGCCGAGGCACGTGACAGGTTCAAAAAAGCTTGTGAGACAGTGAAAGCTTATAGTGCTACAGTGGAGAAAATTGATACTGGCACTTTCTATTATCAGTGTGTATATCTTTTGCTTCACCCAACCCCTGAGGTAAAATTTTACAACTTCTTGACTGGTTTTAGGTTTTTATTGGTTGATTTTGTACTGTTCTTGGTAATTTCAAATGCCTAGTTTTTATTTTCAAAAAGTGAAATTAAGAAAAATGTTGGTATTTTGACCTGGTTTGATGAAAAATGTTGTATGTTTTTTTCAACTTGTGTGCTGGTAATTTGTTCAATGGCTTGTTAAATATTTGATGTCGAAAATGGTTGATCTTTTGGCTAATGGGAGCTTAAACAAAGAATACAAGGAAATGGGGAATTTTGCAATCAACAATGTGGATTATTTAGTAAGATAACCTGTGTACGTACTGAAATGTATCTAATCGTAATGTGTATAATTGCATAGATATTTGGAATGTCAATAGGGCTGCCTAGAGTCACTAGAATGACGGAAGTTAGTGCATAAGAAATGAAAAGTCATTGCTTCGGATGTGAAAGCTCTGAACTT